CTTAAAAATGATTGATGATCACTCCCCAAGGAAATTTTATTTTTGTGGGTTACGTCTATTGATATTTACTGTGTTTGAAACTGAAATATCATAGAATTATTATGAAAGTAGTTTTGACTTTGTAGACTTCCTGAAAGTCTCAAAGACACTCAGGATCCCAGAACACTTTGAGAATCACTGCTTTAGTAGGAAAAAAAACAAGATTAGAAATGTTTGTGTGGATACTACCTCTGCTAGTATGACAAATTGTAATACCTTAGGACAGATTCTCAAAGTTTCTGGTCTTAGGATCCCTTTATCTTAAAAATTATTGAGAACTCCTCAAAGGTTTTGTTTATGTGGATTATATCTATCAATATTTACTGTATTAGAAGTAAAAATATCAGGGCAGCTAGGTGGCACAGTAGATAGAGCACTGGCCCTGGAGTCAGGAGGACCTAAGTTCAAATCTGGCCTCAGACACATAACACTTGCTAGCTGGGCAAGTCACTTAACCCCAATTGCCTCACAAAAAAAAAATGCATTAAGAAGTGAAAATATCTTAGTATTTTCATGGAAATAGTTTTGACCATAGGATACAGTTTATTCATGCCTGTAACTTGGAGGCAGCATGAATTAATAGACAGAGCATTGTACTTGAAGTGAAGAGCTGAATTAAAATCCTGCCTTATGATTTTACTAGCTGTGTGATCTTGGGGAAATTGCTTAATATCTCTGAGTCTCAGTATCATCCTCTGTAAAATAAGGGGTTAAACTTGGTGACCTCTAAGATCCTATTTGGCTCAAACCTACGGCCCTTTGTTTCTATGACTTGAACATATCGAGGGCAGCTAGATGCTGTCTCACCATGTCCTCAGTTATATTGGGTTTTGATTCTAAGCTAATTCTTCATTCTCTCCTTCTAGCCCAAAGATCATTTTTCTTAGAAGAGAAAACTGAAGAAAAATAAGAGTTTGGGATCAGCAAAGTTGGAATCAAAATATTCTTGCTGATAATCCACCCAACAGAGAATTCGGATGTAATACAATTGGCCATGATTTTGGGAGCCACTGTCATCACTCTACTTTCCCTTGCTGGTTGGTACCACTTCTCTTTTCTGCCTATGGTTCCTTCCACAAGTTTCTTTCTGCCACCACTTCCCTTTTTTTCTTAGTTCCTCAAAGTCCAGCTCCCCTACAAGGGAAAATCATGTGTTACTTTCTTCTGTCCTTTCACCTGCTTCCCCAGAACAGTATATAGCACTCCCATAATTGTTTTCAAAGGATTTTTCCTACAAATCAATCCTGGAGAAATACATAGAGGAAAGGTATAATAATGGAAGGAAAGAATAAAGTTTATACATTACTAAGATGCTATAGGGCAATCCTGGTTCTATGTATCAACTACTAAGAACTAGTTCTTGATCCCTCTTTCTTTATTCATTCCTTCTTTTAGATTGTATCCTTAATGTTATAGCATTTCTAGCTATATTGCTGGTGACTGTAGTTGACAAAGCTGGTTGGTGTCTTAATCTCCTAGAATTTGTTTCCATAGTCCTTATATTTGAAAATGAGAATTATCACTCTCCTAAAATGTCCCAAGGTTGTCCTTCATATGGGATTTCTCACACAAAATGACTATGGATCTGAAGAAATCTTCCCTTACTCCCCCTCCCCTTTGTCGTATCTTAATTTCTAGATAAGGAAGACTCTTCTTTGTCTGGCTGTGATCTATCTCCCTCCCAGACTTTATGCTGTAGTGTTTTTTATACCCTTCTAGAGATCATGGTCCTCTGACCTCTAGAAGTTCTCTTCTCTATCATTGGCCTATTCTTACCATTATTGGTTGATCTGTCTAAACCAAGTTCCCCAGATTCTTTGTCATGGCTGGCTCTGCCCTTGGTGCTGAAAGTCTATGCCACCTACTGTCCTAGACCGGGACCATAAGTCTAGAGATGCATAATTTCTCACTAACTTTGGGCCAATCTTTCTGTTTCTAGAATAATACTCCTCCTGAGTGACATTCTGCTCTAGCTGTGGCCTCATAAATAATGAGTTGAGCTAGTAAACACATTCTAGATCTAGTGGAAACCAGATACTTTTTCTTTGGTCCTTTACTTTCTTTTACTCTTCTCACAGTGAAGTAGTCATGAACTCACGGTTTCTTAACACTTGAGAAACAATCTTCGGAACATGTGGTACATGATATAAAAATCCTCTTTCAATAATGAAGTAAATATCACCCTGTTGGCTCTCTGAGAGTTGACTGCATTAAATATCTGCTCAACATTTCCACTCCTCACACCAACTGAGGATACATTTCTAGGTTTTATTTCTCTGTATTTGTTATAAACAAGTCCTAGATTTGAGATCTTGGGAAATTTAATCAATCAATCAGTTAATAAATATTTATTAAAAGTCTAGGGCATACCTGGCACTTGGTTTAAATTCACCTACAAAGATTTCATTTCTTTAACTTAGCAGCAAGAAAGGGAGAAATTACATATATATGTGTATATATATATATATATATATATATATTTTAATCTAATCTCTCATGATTAAAATATTTTGTTAATTATCTTGATGAGTCACAAATTTGTCCAGGCTGTGGAGGCTTGCTGTATCTGAAAGATGTTAATCATCAAAAGAAAAGGGATCTGTCTTAGCAAAAACATAACATACAATCACATATACATTCACAGAAATATGTGACAAAGCAAGTTTTGGGGTTCAATTAATCTATGAACTGAGAAACTCCTGAACCATAGAGAAGAAGTATGAGAGGTAGCATTATGTTACTATAGATCTATGGTATATTCAAAAACACATTGCATTTGAAGCCAGAACACCTGGAGCCAATTCTAAGACTTTGCCACTTAGTAACTTGGTGATTGAGTAAATTAGAGGATCATAGCTTTAGAATCATAAGGGACCTCAGAGGCCATCTTGTATAACTCCCTCATTTCATCAATGATGAAACTGATGTTCTATATTTCTATTATCTATGTATCAATCTGTCTATGAATATTACTTTCTTTCGGGGGTAAGGTGTCCTATTTCCATGAGCTTGGAAGAAAGGGACTAATAATTAGCTTCTAGAGGTCTGGGGCCAGGAACAGACAAATTCAGCACATGCTGTGTTCTAGCTGGGCATTCTGGGAAGCCCGTATTAAAAGATTAAAGTTTAGTGAGAAACCAGGAATAATTCCAGAACACAAGCATGGCTATAGCCAAATAAGTAAAGCAGCCAATGTAGATGAGATGACTCAGAAAAACCAGTTTGTTTCAAATAATTTCAGGAATCACTTATTTAGTGCCTATTACATGCCAGATACCATGAAACTCTAGGGATAAAAAGACAAAAACCAAACAGTACTCATCTTCAAGGAGCTTGCATTTTATTGGGGATGGGGTTGGACAGAGTATAATGTGTACACATACAAGCAAAACCCAAACTAGTACAAAGTAATTTCAAGGGGCACTAACAACAGGGAGATCCAGAAAGGCCTGTTGTAGGAGGTGACATTTGAGATGAACTTTGAAGCTAGTTGGTGAGGATGCAGAGCTGAATCTTTACTCTAGGAAGGTGAGGATGCAGAGCATTCTAGGCATGGTGAATAGGCTGTGCAAAAGCATAGGGATGGGAGATTGAATGGGAGATATTAAGGAAGTAGAATTGGCAAGAGATTAGAAACGGGGGATGATTGAGAGTAAAGATTCAAGGATGACTTCTTGACTGTGAACCTGGGTGATTAGAATGATGATATCTTCATTAGAAATAAGGAAGATGGGAGGAGGGCTGGGCTTAAGGGGAAAGATAATAAGTTCTGTTCTGGACATGGTAAAATTGTGCTGCCTATCAAACATTCAGGTAAAGATGTCAAGTAGGAAGTTAGAGATGGGGCCTGAAAGTCAGGAGACAATTTGGGATATAAAAATTTGGGAATCATTTGCATAGATATTATAGTTGAACCCATAGGAATTAACGAGATCATAGGGCAAGAACATTGAGAGAGAAGAAAAGAGCTAGAAGAGAACCTTAGGGCATATGTAGACATAGGGGACAAAATATGCTTAAGGATAGAACAAAGGAGAATGAGAAGGATTAGACAAACAGGTAGGAGTAAAACGAAAACAGATCAGTTTCATAAAAAACACAGAGGAGAACTTATCCAGAAGGAGGGAGGTTGTTAAAATTGTAAAACAATGCAAAGAGGGCAAGACATCTTTGGTGAACTTGAAAACATCAATTTCAGCCTGCTAATAGAGTTGGAAGTAAATGGGAGGTGAGAAAATGGAGGCATGCTAACAGCTTTTTCTAGAAGTTTAGCTGTGAAAGGGAAGGGGAATACAGGATGGTAACTTGAGGGAAGATTTTTTTGTAAAAAGATGGTGAAATCTGGACATATTTTTAGACATTAGGGAAAGAGCCAATAGACTGAAAGGAGATTTTGGAAACCAGGTGGAATTAGCAGTATGGGACACCAGAAGTCAAATACGCAGGAAGCTCAAATATGGACACAAAGAAGATGTCCTTTACTGCTGTGAATGCTAAGTGGCTTCTTTCTGTGTGAGAGTGGGACTATCCTGGCCATCCTCCCTGTTGTGTCTTAAAGGGAATGGCCTATTGGGATTCAAGGACTAGAAAGGGAGGACAACGTTTTCTTTCTCCTTCTACCCTTTTTTCCCCACTAAGGAAAGAAAAAGTGAAAGAAAAGTGAAAATAAAAGAAAAAATAACAGCTCAAAAGTAATCTTGCCTCACCCTCACGTTCCAGCCCCAGATCTATGATCTTACAATCCAGCCCCACTCTCTTTTTGCTATTTTATCTACATCTTGTTTCTTTCAGAATATCAGCTGTTTCAAAGCAGGTACCTGGTACAGAAGTAGTATGCTGTCTAAGTAGATATCTAAGTAAAATCTAAGATAATAGAGGCATGCAAATTCAGAATGGTAAGGGACCTGAGAGGTTGTATAAGCCAATGCATCCCTAAAGCAGAAATCCAAGTGGTCACGTACCCTCTGCTCTGGGGTTGACTTCTGGGGTTGATGATCTCCTGAGGTGGCCCATTCCATTTCTGAACAGCTCTTAAGTAGGTTTCTCATATCAAGCTGAAATTTGCCTCATGCAATTTCTACCCACTGCTTCCTGTTTTGCTATCTGGGGCCAAGCAAAACAAATCAAATCTCTCTTCCACATGAGAGCCTTTTAAATATTTAAGGACGGCTAGCATAATTCCCTCCCACCCCTACCCCTTACCCCATGTAAGTTAAGAGTCCTCAGTTCCATTAACCATTTTTTACATAGCATGGTTTCTAGCTTCCTCATCATACTGTACACATTTCTTTGGACAAATTGCACTTATTAACATTCTTCTTTAGATGTGGTGCCTAGAACAGAAAAGAATCCTCTAAAAGTGGTGTTCTCAGGTCAATATGTGATGGGACTAAAAACCTCCACTCCAAACAGGAGTCTTCTACAGGTTTATTTTGAGGAAAGCACTTTGAAAAATTTATATTTCTTTATACAAATAAATAGTTATTATTAATAGTAATGATTATTTGGAGGGGGAAGAGATCTATGCAAGTGATTTCACTAGTATTGGGAACTCCTCAAATAAATGCACATGTTCCAAATGTTCTAAAATCCAAATCTAAATCTAAATATTCTAAAGTCTGAAGTTCTAAATGTTCCAAAAAGTTTAAAGTTCTTAGTCTTAGACGTTTACCTAGGGGTATAGGGAGATCAAGTGATTGGTCCAGGATCATACAGCTGGTGCGTGTAAGAGACAGGATTTGAATCTAGGCTTTCTTGACCTTGAGATCCTCTATCAAGTACACTAAAGCATCTTCCCTGGTAATGACGACAATAAGAATTCCATCTAAGAACATGTGATTTGCTGGTTGCATTGTCACATACACTATTGACTCATACAGAATTCTACTAAAACCCCTTGGTCCTTTAAAAATTATTTTCCCCCATCCTATTCTCTCTTATTCTGGGCCTAGAAGCCTGTACAGAAGTGTGCCAGAGCCAGCTTGTACCCATAAAAACAGAATGATAAATTTTCCGTGCGAGCATTTCCACTTCAGAAATCAGCAAACTTTACAAAATCAAGGCTTTATTTATTTTTTTGTTGATTGTCTAGATTTAAGAAAGTGGTAGAGAAAATGTCAGTAGAGATTACACTTAAAAGTATGAGTATTTCTTTTCCTCTCTCTCACACAGATGGTTGTTATACATTTACCAACAGTCCCAGGTATATGTACTCAGTTTTACATCTCTCTGCTAAATTTCATCTTTATTTTTGCCTATTGTTTCAGCACAATGGAAGGAACACGTTGTAGTCAGAGGATCTGTGTGGTCCTGATTACAACTCTGCCATTTACTATTTGTATGACTTTGTAAGAAAGAATCACATCACTTCTTTGGGGCTCATTTTTCTCGATTATAAAACAAGGAAGTTGTGTTATATGACCTCTGAGGTCCCTTCCAGCTCTAAAGATTTGATCCTATGATCCACCTATTAGGTCTCGTGTTTTATCCAATGTTTTTAATCTTTCTACCAGCGCTAAATCATCTGCAAATTTGCTAAGCACAACATGTATAGCATTTAATCAATCAATGAGAAAAATATTGAGTGCAACAGGACTAAATACGAACCTTGTAGCAATACACTAGCATCCTTCTTTGGATTTACAGTGATCTATTAATCACTGCTCTTTAGTTATTCAAACAAATTCCAAAACCACCTAGGGAAGGGAATAAATTTATATTGCCTACTATGTGCCAGACAGTTTGCTAGGTACTTTTTATAAGTATTATCTTATTTGATCCTCCCAACAACCCCGTGAAGTCTGTTCTTATATTATCTCCATTTTACCCATGACTTGCCATGACTAAGTGACTTGCCTAGGGTCACACAGCTAGTAAATGTCTGAAGGCTGGTAAGTGTGAACTCATGTCTTTCTGATTTCAGGCCCAGTTCTTTATCTGCTCTGCTACTAGCTGCCTCTATCCTTGCTAATCCTACTGTCTTTACTCTGTGACAGGTGTATGTTTTATTTTCATTCATTCCATATGCTTCTACCTTATCTAGAAGGATATATTAAGCAGCTTTCTCAAATACTTGTTCATATCAATCTTATATTCATATCATATATTCATATGTTCATATCATACTTATAGCATTTCTCTGATGTACCAAGCCAGTAATCCTGTCAAAAAAGAAATAAGATTAATCTGGCATAACTTGTTCCAAATGAGCCCATGCTAAGATGTAATATCACTGATTTCCTTTTTACTCACAAGCCATCTCTTTACTAGTATATTTTAGAATTTTGCCAGGAATTAAAATCAAACTCATTGGTTTATAATTTGAAAAAGTTACCTTTTTAACCTTTTTGGATTTAATTGCAAGATTTGCCTTGGAGGGTCAGCAATCAGGATCTGATGATTTGAAGTAATTAAGGGAGCTGAACTTTAACCATCCCTTCACTTAATTTAGATTTCAATTCCTTGTTAACTATTTTCGTTCCATCTTTTCCAGTTTAGACATAACTTTCCTGGGTAGAGGAAATAGAATTGAAATGGTGGTGAATAGTTCTGCTTTCTCTCTGTCATCTATCGTTAATGTCCCCTTCATCCCAAGTATTTCAGTTCAGTTTAACACATTTTTCTTAAGTGCTTACTATGTACTTAGGGAATGAGCTTACAAAGTCAAAAATGAAATAAAACATTGACTCTTTCCCTTGAATCTCCTCTTACCAAAAATAGAATTTATATGTTCCTTTTCTTGTCCTAAACGTTTATTGCTAACTTCAACTTCCTTCATATTATTCTTATAGAACCATAAACTCTTTTAAAATTCATCTTCAGTAACATGCATTTCTTTCACATTCTGTACATATATTTCTTTTAAAAATCGGAGTTGATTAATGAGCTCTTTATGCTATCACATCAATTTCTTTAGATAGTTCCTTCTTTTCTTCCTCAGCGGAATCATTTATGCTCATGTCACTTGATCTGACTTCTCTTGTTGAATCTTAGACCATAGGATCTTTTATGACCCTTTCCTTGTACTCTACGAAATTTGTTCTTCCATAGTCTAGGTTAAGGATCAGATTATACCATTTGTTTTCCTGTTGGTTTATCATGAATTCTAGGATGGTATATGATTGTAAGATTGTAGATTTGGATTTGGAAGGGAATTTAGAGAACATCCAATAAAACTCTCTCGTTTTATAGATGAGCATAACCACTTCCTCTCTGCTACAGGGCTTTTTGTGGCCAGGATAGTGGGGTGAAAGGAGAATGTGCTATCATTTTTCGTGTGTGTGTGTGTGTGTGTGTGTGTGTGTGTGTGTGTGTGTGTGTGTGTAAAGCTACCCCAGCCAAACTTTCTTTAAGGCTAATCAACAAATTTTAGCTCTTTTAAAAATCTGTACTGAAATACAAAGGATTACTCAGGCTTCTGACAAGACCTTACTGACTTCCTGCATCTCTCCCAGTAGAATGTTGCCAGCCTTTGTCCCTGGGTTAGGCTGAGTGAATTATTTTTACCTCCCATTATTCCCCTGACAGCTAGTACCTAGCCATGCAAATTTCCATGAAGCATTCATAAGCCTTAAGAAGACAGCAAAATTGTGTGGGGAGAGATGGAGCTAGTGATCTTCTGTTGCCTCCCTCCTGGTAGGGCACTCATTTTTAAAGATGATTGAAGCCAAACAGAGAGAGAAGTTAAGTGACTGTCAAAGGCTATACAATTAATTAGTAGTACAGACTGGAGCTCTTATGACTTCTAATCTAATTCTCTTTTGAATATACCACAATACTACCCCAACAGTTCCCCCCACCCCCAGTTTCCTATATTTGTTGTCTCCCCCTATTAGAATATAAACTCCTTGAGTGTAGGTACTGTTTTGTTTGCTTGTATTTGGTTCCTCAGCATTTAACACAATGCCTGGAATTACTAAGTCTTAATAATCTCTGTTTCTATCTTTCTGTCACTTTATCTCTCTCTGGGCATATATATGTATGCACACATATATGTGTATATATGTATATGTATGTATGTGTTTGTTTGTGTGTGTATATGTGTACACACACACACACACACACACACACACACACACACGTATTCAGATCTTCCTGACTCCAAGTCTAGCATTCTCTCCACAACTCCACATTAGGATGTGAATTTAAGTATTCTGGGTCCAAATCTAGTGCCCTTTCTACTTCACAAAGATAAGGATAGGGACTGAACCTCTGATGTTTCTCTCTCACTTAAATATATATGTGTATATGTATGTGTGTATATATATATATATATGCACATATGTATGTGCATATACATCTCTCTCTATATGTATATCTATCTATCTATATCTATCTATCTATCTATCTATCTATCTATCTATCTATCTATCTATCTATCTATCTATCTACATTTCAGAGGGGCTGGGGCAGTGTAAGGGAAGTCCATGAAATAAAGGAGATCTTTGCTAGGGTTCTGTTCATTTTGCAATCAATGAATAAGCAGCTATTTTTGCCTATAAGTCAAGGGTTATAAGTTATCCCAACTCATGTAGTAGTCCCTTCTAAGCCTTTGAGCCTATGATCACTTGATTCCCTGCAAAGATCCTGTAAAATCCCAGGTGTTGTGTTACTGTAGAAGGTGAAACTCTATGCTATGCAGTCCTAGAGCATGAGCGATCACCAAACAGCTCAGTCCTTCTGGTTCAGTTCAGCCCTGTCTTTTTTAACAGACAACCCATGCCTGGGCCATAGCCAGGGGTTTAATGGCAAATTAGGCCCATTCTCACTTCTCCAGCTTTTTCTGAGTATCTTAACAGGGAATGGAGAGTCTTAGTCTGTGCGTCTGGCCCTCTACCCTGGACTTCATTTCATTTAGTCTTTGGCAAGTTCTGGGAGAAGTGATATTAGTCTCAAATATAGCCTTCAGTCTCCTGGAATAAGGCAGTTCTCATTTCCCAAAGAATACAGATAAGGTGCTTTTGCATATCCAGTGCTTGTCAAGTAATGTTATGTAAATTGACTGACACCAAAGGACCAATCCAAAGGAATTTTCTAAAACTGAAATCATTCCCTCACACTTGTGTAAAACCTTCAGGATTCCATGGGAAAATCAAGCTCTATT